TCTCCCCAGGACAAAAACCACGCTCAAGCTCAAACTTTGGTTCATTTCCATCTTCGGTTACCAGCCCGAAGTGGGCCTCGTAATCAGGTGCCGTGCTCGGAGCTCGCCCGTCAAAGTAGGCGTAATAGAAGGTCTCAGCCCCTCCCCCCTTTTCTTCCTCCCCGTCAATTCTCCTTCTCTGCTCACATGCCCATTTGACATACGTTTGATAATAAGCCTCAGCTTGACCCTGACTAGCCGTAAGATTTGCAAAATTAGGACTCCCTACAGGAGAAAAAGAAAGAAGGCAAGAGGAAAGGCACGAGAAGAAGAAGGTAATAAGCATCCTAATAGATCATAACAATGTGTTGGAAAGAGACAAACGATACTCTGGGCTCACATCTTCCCACTCGTTCATTACCTGCACTAGGCCAACCTGTTTCCGTAACTCGTATCTTTTGCATATGGTTTGGATAGCGCTTGACCATCTTCTCCCATTGCGCCTCCAGACTTTCGCCATCAATGCTGAAATAAGGATACAAATTGACGCCCAAAAGATCGGATGCTTCAGCAAGACGGTCCATCTCATCTTTTTCCCTCAACCACTCGGTAAGCCGCTGCACTGTACCCACCGGAACTTGTACCCCCTTCTCCCTTAAGCCCTCCCTGACGTCCTGCATGTGCCGGATGAGTTCGTCCACGGAATAATTCCCATAGGGAGCCACATTCTCATTTCCCACATAAATGGCCACAGTGTGCGAGGGGAATGAGATAGCGCTTTGGACTGCCACTCTTTTCTCGGCTTCCGTCCAGGACGGTTCGTCTGGGTACATAAAGACACCCAACACCGCTTTTAAACCTGCCTGAACAAAATAGGGCATGACCGGGGTCTGGTAATACGCAGAATAGAATGTTCGGACTTGACGAAAATGGCGTCGAATAAGCAAGGCGTCGGCCAAGATGTCTGCGGGGCTGCTCATGTTGTGCTTTGGCGCCCAGCACACGCCAAGCGCGAGGGAGCGTGAGGTAGCAGGAAACGAAAACGGGTCCACGGTTGTAACCTTGGTAGATGACGATATGGATATGGGATCAAGGGGAGAGGAATTGATCGAGGATGAGGATGAAGAAGAAGAGGAAGCAGAGAAAAGCAAGGCCGAAGTAGAAACGGGAGCAGCTGACGAGGCCCTTGCATCAGCGAGCAGCTCTGCGGTCTGTGTGCTGTCTTTTTGGGCGATCGAAGTGGGACCGGTGAAAATTTTCGAAGATGATAAGGCGATGGCAGCGCACGCGGAGGCAAAAAATAGGATGCCCAGAAAAAGCATTACGGAGCTAAGGGGGGAACGTGAACCTGTGCAAGGGTACAATTATCAGAAAACATATCATAAATAAGTGTTCGCACGTCAAGAGGGCTCGGGAACAAATTATTTTGCCAAAATTTGATCATATTCTGAAGGATCGATTTGCAAATTTGACACGGAGATAATCACCGGTTGATCAATCCCCCCCACCCCCCCTCTCTGCTCTCACATCCATTTCAATACGTACGTCTGTCTCCTGCATCATTCAGCGAATGTATGCCTGCCAAACCAGATTCTTCCCTGTAGCTGTCCTGAGTCATCGGATCTCTCGGATTCTTCCATGTCATCCACGGCGACCAAGCCCCTTGTCCTGTCAGGACCCCTATTAAGGGCGTTTCTTCGTTGAGCTCCCTTTGGTGCTTTTGACGCGATTTGTCCTTCGGCTTTACGCCAAAGGCGTCTGACCACTTTTCATGCTCTAAATTCATTGTATTTGATTAAAATGACCTTTATGTGTCCTGCTACTATATTTTTGGAGTGGTGCCAGAAGGAAGGTGGGAGCAAGCATATATATATAGAGCCAGTAATTCCTCGTAATGTGGACTAATTTGGGCTGCTGTGATTTGGATAATCCAATCTGGCTAACAAAAGTCCACCTGAAGTAGACATGTAGGATGTTTTTTAATCTGGTGCTAACCTGGAAAAAGTAGCTCATGCAATTCCAGTGCCGCAGGATTATTTATGTTTTGCAAAAACCATATGACACGGTAATCAAAACAGTCCACAGAGGTGAGATCGTATCACTTTCAGTGGTAAAGATGAGACAATGTTTGAAAACGCGAGAACGTGTGCAAGAAAGAGCCACCGCTGTAAGGTGTGGCGTAGACGGGGGCGCGGCGCGGAGGAGTTGAATCGTCCACAACCGTTCTTAACGGCTGACATGCCCAAGCAACGGATGTTCAAATTTACCACCTCAGGAGGTCCCCGTACTTGTCATTCTCTCAAGTATGGTGATGTCCTTGTCAACTTTTCACAAAATATATTAAGTTTAGTGAGCTGAAAGCTAAGATAAAGGATGTATCTAGAAAAGGTGGCAAAGTGTCGGTGGTATAATTGTGCAAGAAAGGCCTCTACTGGCGTCGATCCTATTGGAGCAAGCATGCTCGTCCAGAAAAAATTGCGTCTGAAAGACCTTAGTTGACAGCCCGATATGCATAAGATGAACGAATACTGGATGAACGGGCTCTTGAAACTATGAACATCTTACTTATTATATTACCTCTCGCCGCAATGCATGTAGGACTTTGGCACGAAAATAGTCGAGTGCCAAGTAACCAGCATTTAATCATGCCGATAAGAATATCTACGAAATCAGTGTCGGGTACTGTCATGCGTTGATCAGCTGCATTCAACCTTCAAAACTGTTTTTTACGACTGATGCGCTCACAAAATGGATACTCAAATTGAATCCACTGAGGTGGTAAAACAAGTACCGCTAAAATGTGTGCCAATGAGTAGTTTATTCATTGACAACCACCAGATTCATGCTTTAGGGTACCGAATTAGCTTTCAATGGTCTTTGTTTTGTGCACCCGGACCAAAAATATGGCAATCTCATCCCCAAGTATCTTTTCCAGGGCACCGTATATCAGTGGAACCACATTCGCGCGCGCGCTCCTAAATTTCAATCAAACTCCTAAGAGACCAATACATTTAATGTTTTAGCTCTTTCACCAACGATTCACGACGATGGTCTTGGCAGACGTTGTGATGCAGCTCACGTAGTCTTTTTCAGAATCGGCGGTCCTTTTAAGGTTTCACGGCTAGTAGGAACTGAGTCTTGATAGACTTTTCTTAGCACTTAATTGTCCATTACTGCATAAACCTAACGAATCATCAGCTTTCCCAAAAATATTGAATGTATCTTGAGAAATATTTTGAATCCCTCCCGTTCATTCCATTCATCTCAATCATTAGCCCACTCTGAAGGACTTGGTAATGTTGTCGAATACAGGCTCCAAAACTGTCCATTGATCTTCTAAACATGAGGTGGTATATGTCGCGAGGCACTCTCCAGTGCCACTGATGGTGATAAGAGCAAAGAGCGTGGTCAGGTGTCGCTTGGGTTGGCCGGCGGGTTGAATGACATAGTCGTAATAGTAGGCACCTTTTCGACCTTCATAGTTGAGGAGCTTGCTTTCGACGCCTGTGGCCCATAGTTGGAGGAAAGAAAACAAAACGAAGCTTAAAGGGACAGTCCCCAACGTCTTTATGCAAGAATCACTAGGCCAAAGATACGAGGTGGAAAAGACTGGAGAAACTCTCGATGTACTCAACACCTTCTCCCCCCCAGTTTCAGTTCAGAAACTCCTCGTACCGCGGCCTTTGGGAACAATCGTCTTGGCCACGTCTAAGATACTACCGAAAGCTCCCAGTGTAGTGAAATCAGGTTGAACAGGCTGTCTCAGAAGGGCGTGGGAAGAATTGGAAAGACCAATTAGTACACAGGGATAGATGGATGCATATCAGCGATTTGGATCCAGCCAGGGTATGAGCATTCTTACCTAAATTATAAATTCTCACGTTTAAATAGAGAATAATTTTTCTAATTTCCTTCCTCCATCTTTCCTCTACTTATCCTCATTTTGCTCCTAGTCCCCCCACCCACCGTGTACGCGATGAAGACATTTGCCTCACTAGAAGGATCCTTGAATACCACGATGCGTCGGGGGTCCAAGTTGTTCGTCCCGATCGTGGTGTCTGTCCTTCCCCATTTGGCCGGAATATGCTCGAAAGCTACTTTGTACTTCTCGTCAAAATAAGATTGCTCTCCAGCAGCACCAGCTTCATCTGCTGATGCAGTTTCAATATTTAGGAGGAATGGACCACCAGTGAGAGCCAAGATGCCTGCCGAAGAGATCAATCCACATTGTTGGAGAATGTTGCTGCGAGAAACCAATGGAGTGCCCTTTGCGCTGCAAGTTAGGAGTCGTGGTGACCTTTTGGGGAAGGCGATGTGCGAAAATAGGATTAGGAGGAATAGTATGAAAGAGGCCAAAAGAACGAAGTCGGCAACCCAAAAAAAATACCCATCGAACGCACCTGCCCCTAGATAAAGCAGCAGGAGCAAAGGCGTTGCCGAATGCCAATAAAGTCAGCACTGAAAGAACTTCGAAACTTGTGCGGATGGTGGGTCCAGGGATGACAGCCTTCATGGTCGGGCTGAGGGCGAAGAGAAAGAGTATGAGACATGTGAAAGTGAGCATTACATCGAGTCGGCTACCCCGTCCCAGCAACTATATGACATCTACCGGTGCCTCGCGGGTTCACTCCGACATTCATGCGGTGCAAGGACAGAAAGGAAGGACAGCAAGCAAGCAGGAGGTCGACGGGTTTCGACAGGGGCGGACCCCGCCTTACCCGGCTTCCCTGCATCCCTTTACATAGGAAAAGAAAAACAATGCGCTCTGAAAGGCCTCTCAATTCGGACGTTTCGACAGTCGTGTCTATTGTACAAGAATATTCACTACTTCACTGCCTGGTGAAACTTGCACATCCTCACCAATGCGTTCATCCATTTTCTTCCCATGTGCCCACAGGGCGCGATGTCTTTCCTGTCGTGGTGCTGGTTTTTGATCATCATGGGCTCGTTTTCTTCTTTGCTCTGGGCATTTCCATCTTCAGGGAGCAAACCCCGCTGCGGTGCAGGTTTTGACTTCGGTACGAGCGGCGTTCGATTAGTCGTCCTCGAGGCCTCTGAGACTCCTACTTGCGTTCATCAGGCCTCCTTCCGATGGCCCCATTCTCAAACTGTGCAAGATGCCGAGGAATGGCGCCTGGCGATGTTTAGACTTCTAGATGACATACCCCCTGCAATACGATCCCGGATGGCCCGCGTAGCAATCAGCGGCACCAGCGCCTCATGCGTGGTTGTGAATAAAGCGAATGGAGCAATCACTCGGAATCCAAGGCTCTACAATTGGGATGCCCTCCGCGAGATACCAGAAACAGGTAGAAAGGCACAATGTCTGATAGCAGATTATGCACCAGCCAAGCATGTCACCCTATCCGGGACATCTTCATTGATGAAAGTAGTGTCCTGGCATTTGGAGGAGGCATTCCATCGCGACGAAGTGATGCTGCACCAAGCCGATTTTCTTAGCGCCTGTCTGATACACGATACCTCAACAGCAAAGAGAGAGCAGTCTTGCTTTCCCCGCGTCTCAGACTGGAACAATATGCTAAAATTGGGCTACGACATGTCTGCCCTTGCTTATCCTGGCTGGTTCTCCCCCCTCCTCGACGATCGCCTCGGTCTGGGCTGCCCCTCTCCCTCCGAGTCCTCCCCCTCTACATACCGAGATGTCCTTCCGACGCACGTCATCGAGCCTGGTCAACCTAATGGCTGTGTGTCCCCCTCTTTGGTGCAATCGCACGGCTTTCCAAGTGACTGCACTGTCGTCGGCGGCACCACCGACAGCGTCGCCGCTTTCATCGCAGCCGGTCTCCAGGAACCCGGACAGGCCGTCACGAGCCTCGGTTCCACTTTGGCCATCAAAATGCTCAGCAACAAGGCAGTCGAGGATGCAACTCGGGGCGTCTACAGCCATCGACTCGGGAATCAGTGGTTGGTGGGGGGTGCGAGCAATGTAGGTTGCGCCGTACTCAGACAAGAAGGATTTTCCAATCCCGAGCTTGAGAGACTAAGCCAGGAGATCGATCCACGGAGACCTTGCCGGCACCTCAATTACTACCCCTTGGCGGGCGATGCGGGGGAGCGGTTTCCCTCGTGCGACCCAAGCAAAAAAGCGCTACTGACGCCTCGTCCTCCCAGGCGCAGCGAATATTTACAGGGGATATTGGAGGGAATTGCGCGGGTAGAGAGAGACGGATATCAGATTTTGAAAGACCTGGGGGCAGACGAGCTTGTGGAAGTAAGGACAGCAGGAGGGGGAGCCAGAAACAAGGTGTGGACACGAATAAGGAGGCAATTGTTGGGAGTACCAACAGGAAAGGCGAGCGAGACAGAAGCGTCCTATGGTGCCGCCTTGCTTGCTTTAAAGACGCTTTAATGACTTTTGGAGCTAATGGGACTCCATATCTGAACAAGAATTGCTTGCAAATGATAATATTTTCACTCCAGCTGCATTTTGAGGAAAAGTGAGTGTAAAAAGCCATACAGTGAAAGGATTCTATGTATGTTCTGTGAAGAACACAGAAATTTAAGCAAGGAAATTATTTTCGCTCAAGATCAGGTCTCTTTGCCTCGAATTTGTATCTTTGAATACATAAAGTCCTACTGAGTTTTGTACAAAACTATGTACATTGAATACAAATTAAGCTATCAGAAAATGAGAGCATCTCTACGCTCGAGGAGACTACGAGACTTGATTATTTATAATGTTTTCTTTTTAATGAGTGAAGGTTTCTTCCCTGCCAAAAACCTTCCTGGCAGACTGAAGAACATTTGGAGTGGTCTCGGCCGTCGTAACGGTTTCCGTTAAAAACCGTTAGGATGGGGCGACAGTTCGACGGGATCTTTTTTCCCTCCCTTATATGCTGTCTCACCCGGCAGAGCTGTATGATTCCCTTGTTGAAACAATCTTATTTAGATGAACTATGGTGTATTGATCATAGAACTACTTGCTCATTCCATTTTACATTCACGATCTTCACGACAGCGCCTTACCCACCAAAATTTGACCATTGGAGAAGGAAGACAACAAGCGTTCTTGAATCCTTCCACGAGAGGAAATGCCATTCCATTTAAAGTCCACACATTCCGTGTCCTTTTGTCGTTTGGCTCGAACTATCTTTATCGTCTTGTTGGCATGTAAGCCGATCGCGGGAGCTCGCAATCGAAGTTCCCGACGTCAGGCTTTGCACAAGGCACTCTCGGGTGGGCCTCGTGAGCCACGACATAAAATACTTGGCAAGCGATACCGTAAGGAGCTTAATAAAGAGCAAGAAGGATATGGACTACTGAGTCTCGATAATGTGGAAAACAGGGCTATGTTGATTATTCCAGAGCCTTTGACCGATGACGCTCCTCCGCCTCCTCCGGAAGGTGACGCAGATGACGACAACGATGGGGACGAAGGAAGGTTATCAAGTGCTCCGAGTATATCGGCAGGGAGGAATAAAGACGTCTCGTCCTCTACTATAGAGCTGGCTCAAGACAAGGAGGAGGAGCCTGATTCACTCCCTGAGAACGAGTCCAACGATAAGGGTATCTTGAAGGAGAAGACGGCCGCCCCTGGACGTGATGAGAGACGTAAGGGGGACATAAGGAGGAGAAGCACATTAATTGTTCCAGAGCCCTTGACAGATGACGCTCCTCCGCCTCTTCCGGAAGGTGACGCGGATGATGACAATAATGGGGACGGGGGAAGATTTTCCAGTGCAGCAAGTACATCGCGACGTGGGGAGCAAGCGGAAGATACAGAGAACAACGCCAGCAACATCACATCCTCTATTCTCATCACCCCTTCGTCGCAGTCGAACAAGAGTTCAAATGGTGATGACGGAGACATTCATAATCTCCCTCCCATAGTGATTTCTGTTCCAGACTACATTTTAAACACCGGCAAAGGCCCTCTGGTCACAGATAGGGGGGACATTAATGACGAAAATCGCGTGGTTAAATTGCAAGGAGAGAGTGCCGCGTCATCGATCAAACAGCGGGAAGGTGAGGATCGCCAGAAAACAATCCAACAGGAGAGAAAAATAAAGGATGCAGACGATGAGGAGATGGACGACCAGGAGGGATGGGACGAGGTGGAAAGCGACATGGATGGCAGCGCGGGCGAGAAATTGGTCAGCGCGGACTCGGCGATCACCAATGAAGGCAGGATAAGCAAGCTTGCCAATATTAGTGCCTTTTTCCTATTCGGTGGTTTGCTCCTGATACTTGCTTACCACCTCTCTCGACGGTTTAGGCCCTCCCCTGACGTAACTGCCCTCGACACGCAACCACAGCTCAACATGGCCTCTCCTCGCATCACTTTTGCCTCGGTGGCGCAGTCGACCAGCGGGACCCAAGCAGCCCCCCCTGTCTTCCATTTGGCACCCACGTATACCAAGAGAGCGAGCGAACGCCAGGGAGGCGGTCGAAGCCGTTCTTCTTCCTTTACCTTGTCATCGCCGCCCTCCGCCTCGACCACAGGAGCTTCCGCCTCCCCGTCGTACCAGCAGGGACGGCGCGGTAGCAGCACAAATCCTTTGCGGTTACAGCACTTGAACCACCACAATCTGGCCCAGGGACCTCCCTCCTCGGCTCTCCATCGGAATTTATCCCCAGACCAGGAAGTGGACATATCAGGACAAGGAGCAGCGGAGGTGCGAGGTATGAGTATATACAGGGAGGCCCCCTGCTCTGCTTGCGGTCTTCAGCCCAGGACGCACGCGCTGGTGCCTTGTTCTCATCTGGTGTGTGAATCCTGTGCGTCCACCGCGTCCTTTTGCGTCACGTGTAAGAGTGCAGTGGTGAGTCGAAACTGGGTCATGAGCCCCTCCCGCTAGCCGAGGACGATGGAGAGGGAAGACCATGCGGCACAAGTGCAGGCATGTGTCTTTTGGTCTTATACAATTCAGCGTTTCAGCTCATGCGCGGTTTGTCGTGGTAACTAAGGCACTTACATTGAAGGTCCATCAGACTTCGATAAATGGCCCGAAGTAGAGCAGGAATGCCTTGTAGTGTGTGTATGTATACATGTCGGTAAAGTCTGAGTGGTCTAAGAAACGGTTAGGCTATCCCAAAGTCAAAAATATGCCCGGAAGAAGAAATAATGCGTATTAGATGTGTTGGTGGTGTGTTGCGAAGTACACATATTACTTGATTTCTTCACAAAGCATTCTCAGACATGCAAAATTGATAAGGAAGATCGATTCAGAGAGGACGCCTTTCACAATCATCTGATTGAAATCTTCACCAATCATTATTGGCAATCTATATTTATGTCTCACATGTTTTTAAGGAATTGCTTCTTCGCTCTCTCATCCGCAGTTATTATCGCACAGCAGTTTTTGTAGCAAAGAAATGTACCATGCATGGAATTGATGGCAGGCTGATTGCACCCGACGGAGAAGCCAGGAAAATTATCCATTTTATGGCGAGCGCATTTTCATTAGGCTGTGTAAAGTAGGAGCACTTTCCTTTTTGTATTTGTTGGGAGTGCGTGTGGCATGGGCCGGTCATTGGACGGATCGAAGGGGAATGGCACGAGCTACGCCGAGGCGACACGGACCGCAAGCTGGGGTAGCACTGTAAAAATGGGGCGTGGGGTCGCATACGGTCACCGTCTTATCACAGCATGCGCCAGCCATTCATGTGACAGCTTGCACGATGATATAATTAGGTGTTGAGTTGACAGTGACAGAAGTAGCAGTTTCATTGACATCTGCTCGAATTTATACGCAAGACCTGTAATAAAGAGAAGACATACAACGCAGGTAATACTCAGATTCGTGGACCAATCCCGCACTTGTCCACATACCCGTACACAGGTAAAGAGCTCCTCTAGAGTGTTGTGGAGAGAGAAGCAGAAATATCGTGCAAAGAGAAGGCCGCATTTCCATAGGGCCCCACAGCGAAATAGGGTGAGATCATGGTGTTGCAGGAGCTCGGTGACAAGCTTACGGGGGCTCTACGCCGGCTGCAGACCACCACGGTATGTTGTCACGAGTTTTTCATTTCTCCTGGAGCCAAATGTTTCCGGCAATTTCACGCTCATTTGCTTGTTTAAATGCATCTGCTGCGCTCTTTCACAGGTCGTCAACGACGACGTCCTCAACGACCTGCTCCAGGACGTATGCCGTGCGTTAGTCGAATCCGATGTGAATATCAAGGTAGTGGCGACCCTTAGAAAGGGCATCAAGGAGAAAGTCAACCTTGCAGATGCCCCCGCTGGCCTGAACAGACGGAAAATGGTGCAGCGGGCGGTGATGGAGGAATTGGTCCGCCTGGTCGACTCGGGAACAAAGCCGTACCAAATGAAGAAGGGAAAGTCGAACGTGATCATGTTTGTGGGCTTGCAAGGCTCGGGGAAAACTACCACCATTGCCAAATACGCCAACTACTACCAGCGGAAGGTAATTCTTTCAGTTTTTGGATTCCCTGCTCGGGGGACCTCGCACTCTTTCTCGATCTCAGGACCGTACGCACCTCATGTGCCATGTTTTTCTCCTCGATTTGCTTTACACGTCCTCTCAATAGGGATGGAAGACGTGCATGGTGTGTGCCGATACCTTTCGTGCCGGAGCCTTCGATCAGCTGAAGCAGGTAGGGAGGGCGTGAGAGAGGCGGAAGAGGAAGAAAGGGAATGAGCCATAGGAAGTGAAAGAGCCAGCTTGTTTCAACTTGGGAAGCGAAGGCTATAATGTGCGACCCCGCAATACGATGATACTCATTATCTCTTCCTCACCCCCGACGTGCCCGGGCCTTGGCTCTCAGAATGCGACAAAACTCCGTGTGCCTTTTTACGGCTCCTACACGGAGGCGGACCCGGTACGGATCGCCGAGG